AAATAAAATAACTTAATCACATCACAAAATCATCACGCCAAACACGACATACGCTACATACTAATCAGTCTTGGGTCATATATCACTGAAGAAAAAGAGCGCCTCTTTGAGAACCAAAGCGCGAGAGTCACTGGGGTCGATATGTTTCGAAGGGCGCCTCGGTCGGTAGTAGGTGAGGTACCACCGACTGGTCGTGACGAGCGCGGCAAACGTGCTCGGCTAACAGGGGCCCATCTTCACCATCCTCAGGGCTGTCGGAAAAGAACACAAAGCTCCCGTTAGATACACATTTTCGACGAGTATACGCGAAATAAATGGGCTCGGATATCAGAGCGAATCTCTCACCTTGACCCATCCTGGAGCTGCCCTGCGCGCGCGCGCACTCAAGGAGGCACTTGTTGGAGTAGGTCTGGCCGTCGCTGCCGCACACCGCGTTGAACTCGCGGGTGCAGCGACACGCGCTGGTCACGTCGAGCAGGGGGGCGGCCCTGGGCGCGGGGGCGGGCGCGGACAGGCACCAGCACACGGCGGACGCCAAGCACACGGCCAGCAGCAGGTATCGGGAAGCCATTCTGGTCTCTGGAATCAGCACACATCATTGATAAGCAGGGTGTCCCCTCAACTGACGCGAAAAATCGAGACATCTCACTGTCGTCGTGTCAACGACAATACTATAGACACGTTCAACTCACCCAACTTGATAAACAACGGGAGGGACGGCGGTCAAAGCGGCTTCAGCCACGGCAAAAGAGCACGGCGATCTGGTCTCGGACACCGGTAGGCATCGACTGAGTGCCTTCTGGAAGGGAGCCCCTCTCTTATATCAGCAGCCCACGAGAACCAGGCCGGGGCCGGCCGGGGCGTGGCGCGGCGTGGCGGGGCGGAGCGGGGCGGGCTGCTGGTGGCCGGCCCCGCGAGCGCGAGCGTGCGCCGGATCGCGTCGTGGCCCGAGTTACCGACTTTAGCGGCCCTTTTTGGCGGGAACAGATCGACAACTGCGCCGTTACCGCCAACGGCCCCGGCGGCCGCCTCCTCCGTGTCCCCCCCCCTTGTCCTCCCGCGACCCACCGCGGCATCCTGGGCAGGTCGGTCGCGGCCCCCGCGGCACGCAGTCCCCCGCAGGAGGAAGAGTATCTGGAGCAGCAGAGCGCGGGGCGGGGCCGGGGAACTCCATCTCCTCCTCCTCATGGAGCTGGCGGCCGAAGCCGGAATACGCCGACAGCGGTTATCCATCGCCGCAGGAGCACATCCTCCACCTCCTCCTCCTCGCAGTCCCCCAGCACTGTCTTCTCACTTTCCTAGTCTAGAAAATACTACGCTACGCGTCGCGTCCGTGACGATGCACACACACACGCGCGCGCGCCTTCCCTCTGGCTGCTGCTGCTGCAGCGGCGCGCTGCCCTACCGATCCTGTTGCAGCTCCAGAACGTTCTCCGAGTGCAGTGACCCCCCCCCCCCCTTCCCCCTCTCGTCGGAGTGGAGCTAGGCCAGGTGTAAACATCCCGGACAGCCACGCCCACTCTCTCTCTCTTTCCAGAAGAGTCTCTGCTCGAGGCTGCAGAGGGACGAAAACAGCTGATCGGTGAGAGAGAAAAGTAAGAGAGGGAGGGGGGGGGGGGGCTGCTGTTGGCCCCCACAAAGATTAAGCTAAACTCGTGGGCTAGGCTGCTGCTACTGGGGCTGTGATCAGATCGAGGAGGCTAAACTTGCAATAATTTCGAGCGGTCAGCCGTGCTTGTTTGTGACGCCCATAGGCGCACCAGGCCGAGGTTGCTCTTGTTGACGTGTTTACCCGCCACTGGGTCGCTGGGTCACGTGGTCACACCGTACCGCACATCGTCACGGACAGGTGTGACGTCGGCCGGTCGCGCGTCACCGCCGGGGAGTCCACCGCGACCTGAGCCCCTCCGAAGGGCGGGCGGGCCCGGCGTGTCGCAATAGCCTCCGATATACCTGCTGCTCCGGTCCAATGACGCACGACACGACGCGAACCGTTGCAGCTGCGGCAGCGCGGAGTCTCGACGACGGCCTGTAGTAGTACTCCGAGCGCCAGGCTCGCTATAGCGCCGCTACTCCGCGCGGGGCGTACGCCCTGGACTTCCCCTCTCTTCTTTACCTTATTTTCACTCGACTCTCCTCCTGATCGTGACATCGCCAACTCAGGAAACTTTAAAAGAATTAAAAATAATAATTGTGAACATACTTTCGGGAACGGGCCAATTGCGTACATTGAAGCTCAAATCTTGCCTTGCTCAAAAATTGTTTAATTTGTTTTAAACTAAAACAAATATGTGATATGTGATCCTCTTCTCTCCCTGAGTTTGGATGGGATCTGGGCATCTGGGCTGTTTCAAGATTGATCGCCTAACCGCTTAAAACATGAATGGCGGGTAGAGAAGAGGTGGTTGAAAAGCATACGTAGATCAAACAGCACTGACCGACCAACCACAGGCAATGTCGATCTTTCTGTAAAGAATGATTTTTAAAAGATTCTTTCGGCAAATTACGGGAGCTTGGCGCCTGCGCGACTCAGGGTAGGCCACCCCGCAGTACACGCAGGATGTTGCCTACCCATCCGGCGCTATGACAGCTTTTATTGGCTGAACTAGTCAGTTTCGTATCGGCGAATGACGGTCGTACTTTTTGTATGATCCCTAAGTGCTAGGTATGAAGGGAACCTCTAACACCCGCTATTTGTGTAAGTCGGGACCCAGCCAAGAGTCAGTGGGCATGCACCCACAAATCGGAGGTTCAAACACCGTCCTCTTCAATATTTTTCTCCACATTTTCTGTGACGGACTTTCCTTTTTCTTTAAGTTCCACCTGTCTTTGGCGCCGGCCACCTCCTCTCTCTCTCCCCTCCCCTCGAAGCTCGACGTGCCCGCTGTCGTGTATCCCCGGGTCTTTACAGGTGTCTGACGCCGTGTTCGAGCGCCCCGCAAGCTGCAACAGGAGAGAAAGATAGAGAAAGTGGGAGGGGGAGAAAAAAAAGAAAGAAAACGTAACCAGGGGGCGCGGCGAAGGGGGTGGAGCGGCGCACCTCACCTTGTGAGGCCAGAAGGCAAGGCGGGCGGAGGAGCGGGGGAGGGGGCGGCACGTCACTCTTAATCTGGCCTAGAGTGTCAGAATGCTCTTCCACCGGACAGGGACGGGAGGGGGGGGGGGCGGCACGAAGGGGCGCTGGATGAGCTCCGCAGGCAGCCACTTCCCGCTTGCGCCCGCACCACCACGGCTGCTGCTGCTGCTGCCGCGGTTGCCGCACGCGCTCCTCCTTTCGCGAAAAAAAATGATAATGAAAGAGCGAAAACATAAGAACAATGGAACATTCTGTACGCTGTACCTAGAGCAAGGAACGAGGGGTGGGCGACT